TTTGCCCTCCCCTGCTTTTCTGCCCAAGGGTGCGGTGGTGTGCGCAAGTTTTTGTGATGAGTAGACGGCGCAGCACGCTTGACGCCTTGTCCAAGCAAACCGCACCCTTTCTGAACGGATTTCGGCTTTTTGAAACATCAGGTTTGGCTTTTCAGCCGAGTGCTTGCTAAGCAGGCTAAAGGCTTGGATGTTTGCTGATGTGGCCTGACATGCTTTGGCTGCAAACTGTCTAGAAAGTCTGAGAGAACGAAGCCCATGGGAGACTCTTAGTGGCTTGCTTTAGATTCTGCAAGCATTTGCTAGTATGTGCAGGGTCAGTTCACTTTACGAGCGGCACACGGGCGTCTTTTTTCTTGGGTTCCCCCATTTGGAGACAACCTTGCCTTGGCGTCCTTGCATGGAGCTATAGAATCCCCCTGTTGTTGCAACCAGCCCTTGAAATTTCTTCTGGGGCTTGCTTTGGGTTTATGATGCTTCGTTGGGCGGAAACGGAATAATCCCCCCCCCCCCCCGAAACAAGATCCTTTGGATTGAATTTGCCATTCCTTGGGTTTTGTCTTGACTAAGGGCTAAACTCAGAGTTCCTCGGGTCGTTTCCCTTAAATCCATCACGTGGAAGTTCAGGACACCGAGGCCCGTTTTGGTTCGTGCCACGTGAGCTATCTGTCCATTTTCTGGGGTGGTTCTACTTGGCTTGATTAACCCCCAGTTGTGCCCTTTCTCACCCCTTTTTTGGTTGGGAGGATTCCCCTACTAAAATAGACTACAAACCAAAAGAACCGTCACCAACTTATTCTAAGCTCTCAAATCTGGAGGACCTAGCCTTTGTAGCCCTTTATCGATTTTGGGCTTTGGGCTTTCTGTGACCTGCCACGGGATCGAGGTCGGGCCTCGCAGGCGCGGGATTGGAATAGGTCTCAGGGTTTTGGCGGCGCGGCTCAGCCTTCGGTTGGTTCAGAGGGAAGCCTTTCAACAAGTCGAAGCCCCCCTCAAACTACATTTTTCTTTTCTTTTTTTTTTTTTTGGGGGGGGGGGGTGCTTTTTTTTTGGGGGGGGGGGTCCGAATCCCTGTTGACACATACCCAAATCTCTGGATGGTTTGCAACGAAAAAGCTTTTGGATCCTAGGGTGCCATCCAAACAAAGGTATCGAGAAAGTTTGGGCAGGATGCGTTTCCTGAGCCCTGTTTGAGTGCGCCGCTTTTCCAAGAGGGAGGAGAGCTTTTCACACTGGATACGTCTCAAGTTCGAACTACGTGCATTTGAAAACGCCTGGTCCGGCAATCAATCCAAGCCTGCAACGGACAAGATCCAGCTGACCCGCAGCAAGCACTCAACACCCGCGGATTTTTCGCTTCCTTCTTCTGGTCACGTGGTTCAGCACACGTCCACATTCGGAATGCTCAATCAGCCCTGGCGAATCCGGAAGGATGCTCAACTGGTGAAACAAGTCAAGTAGATAAATAGGAGGCCACTGAGGCCTGATTTGTGGAGGCCAGGGTTTGTGAGGCTTTGTAGCCCGGACAATTGTTGTCCGGGCAGACACCTTGGACGTTGGGGCTAGCGCTAGGAGCGACCGGTCGGAAGCGTCCGGAGGCCTCGAGACTTTGGATCTCCAGACGGGGATCTCCAAGTTCCTGGCGCCCGGCACTCGAGTGCCTAGGGCCGGGCCCCTCGAGTGCCCCGAGAAAGCGCGCGCTTCGGGCGGTTTTGTTTTTTTGTCTATTTTTTTTGGGGGGGGAATTGTTATGGCACTTGAGATTCAGAGTGCAGGACTTGTGTTCGAAAACAAGGGTCTCCAAAGCGACCCGTGCAACATGAGGTGATCAGCAGGGGGCACTTGGGGCATTTGGCCAAGGTCTGACGTCTCAGTGCGCGAGGCCTCAGCGCGGGCCTTACCACTCACCTCGTTCTCGGCGTGACCTCACAATGCAAAGCCGCAGGGTTCCTCTGGGGAACTTGCAAGTCAGTTTGGCGCAAGATAGTTAATGAAGGCTTCCAACCAACCTGCAAAGGGTACCCCATGTAAAAAGCACAACCACCGCACATGTGGGATTTGCTGAAAGGAAGGCTCAGGCACAGACAGAAGGCATTGATAGGGCCGCAACAACTGGGGATTTCCGCTTCGGTGCCTGGTCATGGGCTTTTCTCTGGCACAAACAAGGCATTTGTCTTTCCCGCACCGTGTTTTAATAGAATAGTTCTCGGCGCACGGTTGCTTCACTGCAACGCCGCATTTTGATTTGACTTTGGTCGACATCGCAATTCGCAGTCTGAGTTCTTGAGATTCTGTTGGGGTTGTTTCGGAGAGGATGGAGTTTGTCCGGGCTCCGGGGCGGTCTGAGACAAAACTCGGGCTCGCCACGGTTTTTGGCGTGGATGGAGCGGGGATTGAGCCGGGCTCCTTTTCGTCTCCCGGCACGAGGAGCTAAAAACCAAACTATCTTCTATCTTACATTATGCACAGATGAGTAAGCATGATATTAAAGCTGTAATGATTGCGGCAGGATCCAATATTTGTGGGTCATAATATTCGACCCCTGAATTGTGAGCAGGCAACGGGTGGGATGTTGATAGTGATCCTCCGCGTGTGACATTTTTTTTTTAATTTTTCTTTTCGCGTCACCAAGAACCAAGTTTTTCCGAGGGCTTCCGCCTCCCTGGCTTTGAAACATCGGTGCCTCGCTGAAAGACATGGCTTGTTTCGGTGGAGGTTCACTGCATATCCTCCAACTCCAAGGGGTTTTCTAGGAACCCAAGTACATGATATTTGCTGAGCGCTCCCAAGAAGCATCTGCATGTGCAGCTGTGTGTTTTTGAGGACCTTACGCCGTCCAATCAATCAACCCTGGTCTGTTGGACACCAGCCCGCTAGAACCCCGGCTTTTGGTTTATTGGGGATCGCAACCCAAACCTTTTGGGTGGCCTTTGTTTCCGGGCTCTCTTCGTCTCTTCGGGGCATTGTGGCAGACCTCAGGAAAGATTAGGTCGGGACATGATTGCCAGATGTGCCTTTTCCAACTGGATGCGGGCCTGTTCAAGCAAGGGCTGGCCCATGTGTGTGTGTGTGTGTGCGAGTTTGTTTCGCGGAAGCCAAGAGCCTTTTTTTCTTCTTTTCTTTTGTTCTTTTATTTTTTCCTTCTTCTTCTTCTTCTTCTTCTGTGTGTGTGAGCTTCTACCTGCTTCTGTTGTTGTTATTATCATCGTTGGTTGTATATTCATCATTGTTATCATCAGAACAAATAATTTACATTTCGTTTACGCTACATCAACAGGCACCATTATTATCATACTCATTGTGAGTACTGTTGAATGATTGTCAGTTTTGTTTGTACTGCTACTACTGGTATTACTAGTACTACTAGTACTACCCTACGACGACGACGACGACGACGACGACGACGACGACGACGACGACGACTACTACTACTACTACTACTACTACTAGTACTACTACCACCACCACCATCACCACTACTACTACTACTACTACTACTACTACTACTACCACTACCACTACTAATACTGTTAGTGTTATTGTTATTTCTCTTCTTATTATGTTTGTTGTCATTTCTTGTTTATGCGCTACCCAAAGAAAGGTGTCCCCCACTTTGGCTCGCAGCCAAAGACCCCTCGCCGAGGCGAGACCGCGCTCGCACGTGTGAGGGCTTTGGGACGTCGAGCAGGTTCGGATTTCCAGGTTCCGAACGGCAGGCGCCCAAAATTCAGGGCTCCGGATATTTCCCATGTTTTTTTGGGTTTGTGGCCGGAGAGGGGGGGGGGAACATCAGCTTTTGGTGCTCCGATTGCATGTTTCCTTGTGGAAGGGCGATGTTCAAGCCCTGAGGACACCACGGGCCTGCATTTGTGGCAAACCACTCAAACGTCAGAGATCCTTTCATAGATGCTACAAGGGCCTGACTAGTCGGAACGGGGGTGTCGGGTACTTGAGACAAGTTTGTCATGATCATAGGAGAGTCCTGTGTGTGCAATGATTTGGCCCCTATGTTAGAACAGGTCTTTGGATTCCTCTCTCTTCCTTGGGGACAAACTTTCTATTAGGAGATGTCACTGTTGAGGTAGAGCCAAGTAATGGTAAACTATGTGCGAACACCCGAATCTTTGATCAACGTCCTGCGACACAGTGCCGGGGGCAAAGGAGTAGCTTCACGCAGTGCCTTTGTCAATTGTAGCTGCCATGGGCTACCATTCCTGCCATCTTAGCCAGCCTGCTTACGCGCCTCCGGCTGCTAAAAGTAGCGCGGATGCGGAATTCGTTTCCCGCGGTCCTCTCCCTCCATCCAACTTTCAGTGCAGAATGAGCAAATAGGACCAAGAGCTGGGGAGAAGGCCCGCGCGAGGCGCTGCGGAGAACGTCGAAAGGAAAAGGCTGGAGCTGCGGAACGCCGGGCATGCTCACTATGCGAGGTCAGCAAGTTCTCTCACGTGGGCCGTTTCAAAATGCTCTTCATGTTGTGAATGGGAGTCGACAAGCTGACCAAAGGCCTAAAAGCAACTATGCTGCTTATTCTTGGGCTGTGGGTCAAAACCAATGGTACCATTTTGGGGTAGGTGCACCACCCATGTTAGTCTATTTTAGAGGGGATTGGGATGTTCACTGGGGGTACGGGCTTTTGACCCATGGCCAAATCAGTGCCAAATTAGTCCAAAAGATGCTGCCTCCTGCCTCCGGCCATCCAGCCCCGGGCAGGCAGGCAGGCAGCCGCCAGCCAACCAACCCACCGACCGACCGACTGACCGAGCGACCGACCAACCGACCGACCGACCGACCAACCAACAAACCACCAGTGATTTCCCAGAAATGAAATGACATTTCAGTCCAAACAAACAAACAAAGCTGGACGCGGCACAATGAGAAGGATAGATACATTGACTCAAGATCGTTGTATCCTCAACCGACATGAAACGAACACCTGCTCCAAATGTGAGACACACCCATGTCTTGCCATGAAGAAGCGGCGGGTGTTTGCCAAGAATCCC